CCCTTGTGCTGCTCTGGGGCTTAGAGCGCTGTGCTACAGCAGTACTGACTCCAGCTGGTCAGGAGAGAAAAAAAAAAAAAAGAAAAATCTCATGCAAAAATTCAACTTTTTGTAAAAAAAGCTCCACAACTCCAGAATTAAAAAATGTTTGCCAGCACAGCAAACATTTGCCAGCACATTTTTGATTTTTCGCCAAAATATTCTGGCCAAAACTTGGGAGAAAAACTCAGGATTGTCTACGGAAAGCAGATACTTTTCATGAAAATATTCATTTAGCCAAATCCCCAGGTTTCTACTGAAAGTCAGCTTCAGCGGAAAATGCTGACGAGCTCTATTATTGGCACAGCTTTAATTTTCCTTTGTCTGGAAGAGACACGGAGAAGACAGCATCTGTCAAATGTAGTCTTTAGACTTATGTTATTATTTAGCCTGGAGTATTGTTCAAGGACTTCGGGAAAGGTTCAAGCCATCACGGTGCTAGGTGCTGCGCACATATACACAAAAGACAGACCCTTCTTTAGAGGGATTATGATTTAAGCACAAACCACGGAGAAGATAAACAGCTGGGGAGAGCACGAGGTAATTTTGGAGGGGTCCTGAGCAGCGTGATGAGCAAAGGGACACCGCGCTTCCCCCTGCACCTGCTCTGGCCTCCAACGCTTTGTGCTCGGCCGTAGCGCAGCTGCGCGAGCTCCGAGCTCCCTCAGGAGAGGAATTGAACTGCCCCAGCTCTGGAGGCAGCTGCAGAGACAGGGCCTGCTCTCCCCGCCCTGCCTTGGGTTTGAAATCTCCCTGGGATGGAGAGGAGAAAGCCAGGAGAGGCGTCTCCGCAGCCCCCAAGGCGCGATCCCGCTGGCTCACCTTAGGAAGATGCTCCACCACCCTCCCTCCCGCAGCCCGCACGTGCCCATCCCATCCAGCCCATCTATTTTAACTCCTGCTTCTTTTTTTTTTTTTTTTTTCCCTCCAGATCCTGCCCTGCCATACAACCCCACTTGCTCCCCTTCTGCCCTCACCCCCCGCGTGCTCTTCATCGCTTTACGCCTGCTTTATGCAAACTGACACAACCGCTTCAGATACAAGGGAATAGTTAGAGAAGGATCTGTGCTGGTTTCAAATAGTTTCCAGAACCGGTCACCCCCTTCTGTAAGAGATTAAAAAGGCATCACTGAGAAGCGAGTGAGGGAGAAAGAGAACATGAGAAAATAAATAAATAAAGGTATATAGTTACTTTTGGTTAGTCTCAATAAGCAGTCCCGTCCCAGGGCTCCTTGTTCTGTGCTCATTTGCAGTATTAGTCACTTTTTCCATTAGAAGCTCTTATTCTAGGGGGATTTATAATGTATCTGTAAAATTGTCTCCAGGCTTTGCTTGGCATCTGAACTCTCAATCCACGGACAAAATGTAAAGAAACTACAGAGTTTTGATTTATTGGGACAGGGCACAGGGAGGGAGGGAATTTTTCCATGCTTGGTGGAAATAAATTCACATAGTGCCTTCAGTGCACAATTACTTACTGCTCCAGAAATTACACCGTTTGGGTGCAATCTCACACTGGCAGGGAGGAAAGAAGCGAATCAATGATTTTTTTTTTTTTTTTTAAATATCTCCGTGCCTGAGGCCCAGCCCTCGGTTGTTGGTTTCTCACCATGACCCACCCAGTCCACAGTCCTGCTGGGTGCGACAGTCTCTGTCGTCCCACTCGGGCTCAGGAATCCTGCCCTTGACGAGCCCTTTTCAACTCTTCATTTCTCCAAGGGACATTTCTTAACCCTCTGCAGAGGTTCTCCTAGAGTCCTGATTTTTTTTTTTTTTTTTTCATGGCAAGGCCTGTGGCTCATTTAAGTTTTGCTCATGTTTCTTGACACGCAGCTGCCCACAGGCCGGGAGGGATGAGCAAGGGCTGGCAAACTGCTGTGGGCAACATCAGCACCTGAAGGGCAGAGGGGTTCAGGCAAAGCGAGACCTGGGAGGTGACAACACCCTCGGGATGCACAAACTTGGGGCTACAAACACCCAGCACCTTCCTGACGCTCCTCCTCCATGCCATGGCTGAGGAGAAGCTCATCTGCAGGGTGACCCTGACCTGGGCCAACGTTCACCCCGACTTCTGGGGAAGAGAGGAGTGGATCAGGAAGGAGGGAAGGATCAGGGACAGCGACACACACGGGATCGGGGGGAGGGAGGGAGAGCCAGAACCTTCTCGCAGCCTCCCTGCGGCCCCGACCAGCAAAGCAAGAGCCTGACGTGGACGTTTGAAGGAAACAATAACCTAAAATTGGAACATGGCAAATTATTTATTCAAACTACAGCCTTCCCTCCCCCCTTGATTAGCAAACCGCTGGGGAGTCAGCCCTGATTTTCTTCAGACAGACGCATACAGCTCTCCTCCTCTATCTGCGCCACGAGCGCTCAGCCCGTGGGGGGCTGAAGATCTACTTGGTATTCGCATTGTGTAGCGGCTCTTGAATTCGCACGTTGTTCTGCTCTCTGACTGGATCACAAACTTTTTCTTTAGGAGCATACACTACAATGACGAATATGTTTGTTTTCTGCCTTTTTTTTTTTTTTTTTTTCTTCCCCCCCAGGGAAACATTTAGGCTGCAGCGTGCAAACACTTCCCCACACACTCACTCAACCACTTGCACCTAATAATAAAACAATCTCTACAAAGCATCGCAACTTGAATTCCTAATTTGATTTTTTTGGGGTGGGTGTGTGTGTGTGTGTTTCATGTTTTCATCATTTATAGAAAGCTCCAGTGAAGCCTTGAGGAACAGACATGAGAACATGTAAAGAAACACAGGAGTGTGCTGCAAAACTGAAGTATGAAACCCCAGCACTGAAATCCTCTCCCCATTTAAATCAGAGGCAAAACCTCCACAGACCAGAGAGGAGCCAGAATTTCACCCCTGGGACTTCGGTAGTGGGAGACTCGGAGCTTGGCAATGTAGAGGAAAGACTGTGAAGGGTTCAAAGTATTAAATGAAGCTGAGCAGAGACATGAGAGGAACAAAGGAAGTTCATGTCATTATAATTTATTGATGATCTTGGCCTGATCGCTTCAGTGTTTTGTCTTAACAGAACCCACCCCGAGCAGCAGGGAGTCCTGCAGGTCACTTGGCCACCCTGATGTAGAAGTGATGTGACGGTTTACGAAGTTTGCTTAAAAATATAAAAAAAATAATATAAAATAAAATAAAGCACCAGGCTGGAAGTCACCCTCACCCAAGCACATGCTGGGAACCAGCCAGGATCTCCTGACCTCACCCCCATCGGAGCGCGGCTCCAGGAATTCCCTCACCATAGTTCACATTTTTCCAGTTCTACCAATTCACCCAGCAAGTGCCATGGGAAATCGCTATGGCCAAGGCATCCAAACTTGCTTAAGAATGAGCCAAACTGTTTCTTTTCTTCAAGGAGGAGGGTCTTAAGGAAAATAAAATGCTGGGGGTTCTTTGTCCCTGTATCTTGGATACGAGAAAACTCCCACGCTTGTCAGAAATAAGAACAGCACCGGCAGCTCGTGGCTTTTTCTCTTTCTTATTCTTTTTTTTTTTTTTTTTTTTTTTTTTTTTTTTTTTTTTTTTTTTTTTTTTTCCCCAGTGCATGCGACTGTGTGCTTTAAAACAGGATGACATCGTGATAGGTTTAAGAGACAGCGAGTGCTGAGATGCCAATTTCTAATGTAACACAGGGTACAGCTTCTTTCTTCTGTGATCACGGGTGAAAAATCAAAAGAAATAATCCAGGAGACTAAATACACTCCCCAGCCATTCAGCTCGCTCATAAATATGCCGAGCGAGACGCTTTGTGCAAGAAAACCCCACCACTTCTATTCTGTATTTTGTTTAACTATGAGTCAAAAGCCACATCTTCCCACTGTGCTAGTCAGAGTTAACAGGGTTGTGTTCCCACCCTCTTCCCTTTCAATTTTAGGGTGATGGTTTATATTTTAAAACTAGCAGGTTCCCCCCCCCCCCTTTTTTTTTTTTTTTCTTTTTTTCTTGTTTTTAGCGAGAGATGCTCTCCCACACCTTCAGCAGAGTGCCCGCTCGCCCTCCCTGCACAGAAAACACGCCGCTGTCACCGCGAGCAACTCCAAAACAAAGAGTTTTAACTCGGCTCAGCCCTTGGCACTAGTCTACTATTCACCAGAACTTAGCAGGAAGCCTGCCCTTTCCTGCGCGCTGCGAACGCTCCGAAATAAAGCAAATTTGGAAGAAAGTAAATGAAATTAAATACATAGATGCTGTCATTTCCTTTTTAAGGCTGGAGGAGCCCTGGAGCCCATTAGCTCTTGACAAGAAGGGGACCCTCCAGACCCAGCCTGGATGCGCAGACACTGGGGGAACAACCAGACCTTTGTTTATCGTGTTATCATGTCCGCAGATGTCATGCGGACCAGGAACCCCGCGCCCACCAGGGACCACCCTTTCCGCACCCAGGGAAGTTTCTTTCCTCAATAAATGCATGTATATTTATAAGCACATTCTATCTAAGCGCTTCATCCCGAGGAGGGTCGATAGAATTCCTTCCAAGGCAGCACAAGCCTCTCCGTGTGGGCGAGCAGGGTGGGATACAGGGCGAGCCCCTTCTCGCAAATGGACCCGAAAGAGGCTGAAGGTACCGGTGGGGTTCTCAAGTTTGGTTTGGTTGGGTTCGTAACATCCTCCCCGAACCCACCGGGACTCCTTCCACGGAACGATTTTTTAAAAATTCTTCCTTAGTTGTATTTTATAAGCACAAACTTATGAATCGAGAACTTCTTTTGTTCCCCCCCCTCAATGGTTTCTCCGAGTTTTAGGCATCACTAAACTCCCCCGCTCAGCAACATCCCTCCACCTTCCTCCTCCAAGACGAAGTTGAGGAGGTACCGGAGCTTTTACCAGCCCCGGGGCAGCGGGCACCGAGGGGGCTTTTGTTCCCGTCCCGGGGAGCCGAACCCCCAATTCTCCACCGTTCCCGTCGCCCCCAAACCCCAGCGCGCCCCCACTCACCAGCTGCAAAGTGCAGAGGAAGATGAGGGTGCAGCGCCCGGTGCAGCATCCCATGGTCCCCGAGCAGGGGGGGCAGGGGCACCCCGCTCGCTGCGGCCCCGCCGCCGCCCTGGGGCTTCTCCGCGGCCCGGCCCGAGGCTGCTGCCGCTGGGAGCGGGGGGGAGCTCGGTCGGTCGGTCCGTCCGT